TCCCAGAATAAAAACAAAATAAGTGACTTTAAATCATATATCATAATGGACTTAAGTACCAATCAGAACATTAATTATCTCCCATATTCCTCTTCCAATGGATAGCCTGCGCTGTCTTATGGAAAATAGGGGGGTACCAAGCATATCTCCAGGGCAAAAGTCTCTATAGCACTGGGGCCATTACAGAGAAGGCTTCCCTCTGGGCCCCCATCTCCTTAATTTTGGGTAGCGGTGAGACCCCCTAAGCCTCCCATCTGTGCACAGGCAGAGGCCAGGCAGATTCCACCTTGAGGATTTTGTTGCCGTTGTTATGCTTCTTAATACTAAGATCTGTTTCATTTATAAATAGGTTTCATATACATCTTGGTTTTTGGATGCCTTTAACTATGCTATCTTAAAGAAGATTGATGTGTTGAACCTTAGCATTGGAGGCCCAGATTTTATGGACCATCCATTTGTAGACAAGGTTAGTATGGAGTGGGGGGAAAAGAGACTGATAGCAATTATACAGTTTCTCTTTGCGCCTTAGAAAATGTGGTTTAATAGAAGCTTTGGTTTTACAGTATCAGGGCACAGAAGATAATGGTGTGGGGAAGTTGTATCAATACAGTCAAACTTGGAATGCTTCATAACATTCTCTGAACACTGAGTCTTACAAGTAGATATTCGTGATAGTAGCTTATCCCTGTGTTTCTAACATCTGACTATTTTAATTTCCAAGGTGTGGGAATTGACAGCCAATAATGTGATCATGGTCTCTGCTATTGGAAATGATGGTCCTTTGTATGGGTAGGTGCTTTTTGGATATTTTGAGCAGGGATAATAAGAGTAAATTTAAAATAAAGAAGCACTTTTGCCTTCTTTAAAAAAAGAATTATCTTATTAGGGATGTCTGTTTTCCCAAATAAGTTGATTTTTTTCAGGGTAATCCTTCAGTTTAGAACACATGCTGTAATACATATGTGATAACTAGTTTCAGAAATTGTTTTCCAGGCAGAAGAGTGGCTTAAATCCAGTGTGAGTTGTGCTTATATCTTGCTGAAATCCCATTGTTTTCACTGAGGCTTAAATATGACAGGCATATATATTCAGGAGCAAGCCCTGTTGAGCACTGCTGGGCCATGATCGGTTTTAACCACCATTTGCTGAAGAAATCAGAATGTCCTAGTCTGTACTGTACCATAATTGGTGGGTTCACATATCATGCTTAGCCAAAAGTAGGCAGATCAAGTTATGACTGTTATGTATGGGCCAGTAAAAATGCATAAAATCATACTGTCAGTTTTCCTAGATTCTGGCCATTGAGTTTTGTGAGGAATGGAAAATTAGCTCAGTCTTAATACTTAAAATCAGTTTAATTTATGTGAAACGGGGGGGGGGAGACATATGTAATAGATGAATAATAACAAATATACATTCTTTTTCAGCACGCTCAACAATCCAGCCGACCAAATGGATGTGATTGGAGTTGGTGGCATCGACTTTGAAGATAATATCGCTCGGTTCTCCTCCAGAGGGATGACCACGTGGGTGAGCACCTTTATAGAGCCATTGTGCTGGGGGTGATGCTAGTGCACTAGAAGGGTTTAGCACAGTGCGTGGTCTTCCATCACTTCACACCGTAGCAAGGAAAGGAAAGTTTAATTCTGTTAGCTGTCGGCATAAATATCATTTAATATGATGTCATATGCTGTCTGAGTATAAAACTAGTTGTTTGATGACTTGGTTTTTCTCCCTAGGAACTTCCTGGAGGTTATGGGAGAGTCAAGCCTGACATAGTTACTTACGGCTCTGGAGTGAGAGGTTCTGGCATGAAGGGCGGTTGCCGCTCACTCTCTGGGACGAGCGTGGCCTCCCCTGTTGTGGCAGGGGCTGTCACACTTCTAGTAAGGTACGTGCTCAATCAAAAGGTAGTTCCCAGCATTTTCTGATGAAGCTGCATTGGCTTCTCCTCATTCCAACCCCAGGACAAGCAAGGAACCCCATTTGCATTCTGGGAAATGGGTTCAGAATGTTAAAGAGGGCGAGTTCTTAAGCAAGAGCAGTATTTGTTTCAGATCTTGGAAGTCCTTCACACAGAGTATTGCAGTAATCTTTAAAACAGCTCAAAAACTAAGCTCTTGCTCACTCTTACTATTCTGGCCTGTAATTACATATGAGCTGGTCTGCTCTGTTAGTATTGACGGGTTGTTTTTGGGTAGAGGTGTAGAAATCAATATTGGATTTATTTTCAGATGAAATAGCATGCCAGAGTCAAATCCATTGCAGCACAAATGCTCTATGGGGACTCCCCACGCTGGAACAGCTTGTTCTCAGAGGCAAGAGCAGATTCCACACTCCTGATTTTCTGAAAGCTTATAAGAACTTAACTGCTCCAAAAGGATTTTGGAACTTGAATGTTGTAGAGCTCCCAGTGTCAGGAAAATTATTAGAATTATTATTTTTTTCTGTAATTTCATATTGCATTTCAGGTATTGTATGTTATTGTATGTTCCTGTTACTACATCTTTGGATGTTGCTTTTGTGCACTGATTAGAGTAGGCAGTTTACACATTCAAAAATAAAGGAATAAATAAACAAATAAGGCACATCGTTCAAAGAGTCTGTTACCAAAATCACACCTGAAAAGACAAATTTGGGGAAGTTGTAGAAGGAAAAATATGTGTCTTTGAGAAAGCAAGGTATGACAACCACTCTATGTACTTTTTACATTATTTTTTAAAAATTATAATTTTCAGGTTGGATCAGACTTGAGTACATTCCCCAAACTTTGGCCAGATATAGGCAAACCCTCCCATCTTTATTCTTTGTTGTTGTTGTTGTTCAGTCATTAAGTCGTGTCCAACTCTTCGTGACCCCATGAACCA